CGTTGCCGCCCCAGCCAAGCCAACGCAGGGACTCTGGTCGCTGGAGTTTTAATCCTGGGAGAAGGACCCGCCTGCGGCGCCCTGCCCGAAATGAACCCCTGGGCCCGGTGAGGTCCCTTCAGTGTTCCAGCGCCCGCCTCTTCTGTAGCTTCATCTCCAGCTCTGCTGTCACATGCGCCAGCCCTGGGGGCCAGAACCAGAGCTTCAGCTGGGCCAGGTGCTCCCGGTCCACCCCCCACCCCCCGCCAGACTGGCCTGATTTGCAGGGCCTGGTGCAAGCTGAAACCGTGTTCAGAGCCAGTAGGAACCCGTGGACATAAGCAGAGGTTCTGGGGCAAGGCTGGGCACCCACCCGGGAGCCCAGCCCCTGACCACCCCCACCACCCTCTTACCAGGGGCAAGGAAGAGAGCCTGGGCTGAGCTGCCTGCTGGCTTCCTGGCCGGGCCACCGTTGAGGACTTTGGGCTCTGGAGGAAAAGACAGAAAGTTGAAGTCGCCCTCCATTGGGCAGGGGGGTCATGGGGAGCAGCGACCCCTACCTGGCTTCGGCATAGTTGGTGGCTTTAGGGGCTTCGCCTGAACCTTCGCCAACTTCTTGGGCTTCTGGACGACCGGCCGGCTAGAGGACGACACTGCGTGGGCAGAGGTGTGGCTGTCACAGCAGCCAGCCAGCGAGCTCCCCCACCCCCAGCTCCAGCAGCACCCCTGCCTGGCAGGCCTCACCCACCTTCCTGGTTCACGTAGTCGGCAACTGGGGCGTCTCCAATGGGGGTCACATAGTTCTCATCCTGGTCGGGTAGCGGGGGCAGGGGAGGCAGTGGGGGCAGCTTGTCCTGGCTGGGCACTGGCATGGACACTGTTGGAGGCTGCTTGGGACCACCTGCAGGGGGCGCAGGACCTGGCGCGGGAAGGTGGTCAGCGTTGGGTGACAGGGACAGGCCAAGATGGTCTGCGTGCACGCGTGCTGAGATACTGCGCCCCTGTGTGTGCGTGCTAGTGCGTGTGTCCGAGCAGGTGCTGCTGAGTCTTTACCTGTCTGCGGCGTAAACAGTGCGACTGAACTTGCACCAGTGAAATCCGGCCGCGGCGCTTAGCAACAGGGAGCTTCCAAAACGTGCTTCCTGCGCCACCGCCACCGTGGGGATCTCCCAGAATGCACTTGGGCAAACCTAGCCGGTACAGCCCGCTGCAGGCCGAAGCTGTGGGGCATGGCGCTACTCTCTCTCTCTCTCTCTCTCGGGACCGTGGTATATACGGTCCCCGCTGGCCCCGGAGATCCGGAGGCGGCGCTGCGTGCACGCGTGCTGAGATACTGCGCCCCTGTGTGTGCGTGCTAGTGCGTGTGTCCGAGCAGGTGCTGCTGAGTCTTTACCTGTCTGCGGCGTAAACAGTGCGACTGAACTTGCACCAGTGAAATCCGGCCGCGGCGCTTAGCAACAGGGAGCTTCCAAAACGTGCTTCCTGCGCCACCGCCACCGTGGGGATCTCCCAGAATGCACTTGGGCAAACCTAGCCGGTACAGCCCGCTGCAGGCCGAAGCTGTGGGGCATGGCGCTACTCTCTCTCTCTCTCTCTCTCGGGACCGTGGTATATACGGTCCCCGTTGGCCCCGGAGATCCGGAGGCGGCGCCGTGCAGGCATGGTGTAAAGTGCTTAGGGCGTGCACGCCTGCGCCCTGCCGCGGGGGCCGGGGCCTGCTGGACCGCCAGGTCTACATGGTGCTTACCGAGGTCTGCACGCGCCTGCCTTTGTGCTCAAGCGGATGTGCCCGCAGTGACGTGTCCCCACCTGACTGCGGGCCACGATGGGCCTGTGTGGGCCACCCAGCGCATGTGCGCAGAGCGTGATCTGCTGTCTGCTTCTGGCTGCGCCGGTGGGCACGGAGATTAGGGAGCATGCACACGTGTGCACATGTGTGTATGCACACATGACCATGGGGGAGGTCCCTCAACCCACAGGCCTCCCCAGTCTGCCCTCTGCCTCCTCCTTGTGCTCCATTAACCGGACCTGTTTCCACGTGTTTCTTGACATCCACCCAATTCCCCATCTCCCTCTATTGCCCACTTCTGCCTATGAAAATCTGCTGAGAGCTTCAGTCAACATCCCCTCCTCCAGGAAGCCTGCCTTGCTCTACCTGTCTTCTCTCCCACTCTGCGTGTGTACCCCCACATCAAGCCCCACGGTCCTCCTGACCCCAAGTTCGACCTCACTGATGGGAGTGTCTGTCCAGCTCTGTCTGCCACCCACCCCTGACCTGGGAGGCCCTTGAGGGTTCGTGTCATTTCTGTTCCTACAACTCTGGCGACTGCCACCCAGCTGCTAGGTGAGGGGGGTGTGGCTGAAAGTGGGTCTCAAGTGCTTCCTCCATTGCCTGGTGACAGCGGCGGGGAGGGGGGCGTCACCTGAGCCCGGGTCCGAGGGCGCCACCCACACACTCTCGCCATTGTCCTTATCCGCTTCCACGTAACCTGGAACAGAGAGGGCAGCCTGGAAAAGTCGCCCGGCCCGGAGCAGGCTCAGGCTGTCCGGGTGGGGCCCGCGCGGGGGCGGGAGAGGCGCGAGCTGCACCCACCTATCACCTTCTCGTAGTCCTCGTCCAGCAGGAAGGGCACCAGCGCCTTGTTGGTGTGCGACACGAAGTAGTTGACAACTGCGTCCAGAGAGCCGCAGGAGAACTGGGGGCGGGAGGGGGCGCGGTCAGGGAGGGCGGAAGGGGTGCGGCGCCCAGTGCTCTCCCCGGGACCTCGGCCCAGTGCTCACCGGCTCCTCCACGTCAATCACGTACTTGGGGCTCTCGCGCTTCACCTTGTAATGCCGGATCACGGGCGTCCTGCACGCGGAGTGGGCGAGTGGGCCGCTGGGCTAGGCGCCTACACCGCCCCGGGGAAAGACTCCGCCCCGCCCCGCCTGGCCCCG